CTTGATATAAGAAATTTAATTAAATTTATGGTATTTAATTGAAGCAAAAATATAATATAGAGGCTAGTGGCTCTTATTAAATATATATAGCTCTTTAAACATGGGCGAGCGTGTGGCAGAACCTATTTCCAAAAGGTTTCCGAAAGGAATGGTTATATTTTTGTTGACTTTTATTCAGGAATTGTTTGAAATCTGGAACAAATTTCTGAAAAAAATATTCTGAATTAAATTTTGCAGAGCTTTTCTATGAACCGCTTGCCATGAACTTTTGATACGTACATCTCATATATTGTAATTTACTTGACAAGCTTTTAATTTGATAAAATCGATTAGGGAAGGGCTATTCCATAACTCAGAAATCGAAGGGCAAGGACTCTAGCTACGTTTTATCGAAATGCTTCTTTATTTTCTTGAATCCTCATAATATGGATTACAATATGTAAACAAAATTTGGAGTACAGTTCCAATAGTTCACTTATTAAACATGCAATTGGGTTTTTATTATGTACTTTAGCTGTCATCACCGTTTTTATCTATGTCGCTAAAAAATTTATTCACTGTTCATTCACTTTTGTAATTTATAGTTCTTGTAGTAATGAAACGACGACACTAGTATTTTGATTAAGATGTAGAGTTTATGAAATTCAGGTTTGTAAAGTTAAGGCGCATATGGAGAAAGAAAAAATCTGGCTATAACATATAGTAATGAAAAAAAAAAACCAATTTCTAAATACAATGAAATAAAACTTGTTTAATAGAAAAAAAAATGTGTGAATGAAAGCAATCTTTTAGTGAGATTTAAATTTCCCAAAATATTCTCCAAGAAATCAAAAGGAAAATAAAATATCTTTTTGTGTTTTATGCTTTTTTTGTTTTTCTGAATCACTTATTGAAATACAGTAGGTGTTATTTCTTCTCCAATTATTTGAATTGTTAAAAAATAAAATAGATTTTTTATACAGTATTATTCGACAATTTAGGCATTTAAATATTCAATTGTAGGCATATAAGTATAAAGAAAACTCCTTGAAAACTGCTTCTTTTTTAGATAATAGTTAACATTATTCTGAATTTTTTTTCTGTTTATGATTAATTGTAGGAGTATATAAAATTATGTTTTAAAGTAAATGTAGCAAAAATTTACAAAAAAAAAAAAATTCCAACTAAAAGAAAAATTAATATTGTAAAGACGCCCATAATTATGCTATCAAAATGATCTTTTGATAAATAAAGGATTTTAATTTATTATAAATAATATTTTTTAGTTAAAAAAGTAAATATAAATATTATAGATGATTGTAGCGTATATAAATAGAAAATAATTAAATTAATTTAGGAACTACATAAGTATATATATATATATTTATTTTTTTTAATATTATTTCTTTTTTTTTTCCTTTTTCATTAAAACTCTTACCAGTAATTATTTCAATTATAATTTTAATAATTTAGTAATGTTAAATAAATTGTTATAGAATTTGACAATTAAGAAAAGAACAACATAGAATTATTTTTTTTTTTTTTAAATTTCAATTATCTTTAGAGTACATTAAGAATTTTTTTATTGCAAAAATTTCGTTCTTCATTCTATAATAATATCAAAAATCATTGTGCAGTTTTTCTTATTAAGTTTTGTTTATTTTATTTTTTTTTGTATTATAATTGTATTATGAATTAAATCATTTACTAAAATAAAAAACCAACAAAAACATTAGATAATTTTAATTATTATAATAAATATAGATAGAGTAAAAACTTGAAAATTTGTGCTTTAAAATCGTTTTTTCCCAGCTGTATAGTTTTACTAATAATAAAAAAAAAAAACAACTAACATAGAAAATGAAAATTTTGATATATTCTTATTTTTTTTTTTAATCGTTATATAAAATTAACATTTATTCTTATAATACTAATAAGCAACTTATATATATATATATACATAATAATAATATTAATAATAATTAATTAATTAATTATACTTTTTAACTCTTAATATTGTATTAGAAATAGAAATTAATTTTAGAATATTAAAAATCAAATTAATTTTCTTTAATAAAATGAATTTTTATTAATTCCTTCAATATTATAACTAACTTTTTAATAATTGTATAAGAACTCTTTTTTAATCACAAAATTACAAAACAAATATTTAAAAATAAAAACATTAAATAGTGTGCCGGCCAATTAGCATTTCTTTTTTAAAATGAAAAAATGAATATATTTTTTTTTTAATAATAAAAAAGTTTATTTGAGTAAATTGTTTTTTATATTATATATATATATATATATATATATATATATATATATAGAAATATATGTGTATATATATATATATATATATATATATATATATATATATATATAATTAAAAAATATATATAAATTAATATTTAGAATTAATTTAATTGAGTTAAAAAAAAAATAAGTTATTTACATATTTGAAATATTAATAGTTAGTTTCCTTGTAAAAGTTTTCTGTTTTTTTTTTTTATTTAAGGATAGTGTTTTTCTGTTTCATAATAAATATAATATAGGTGTAGAATATAAAAGGATCGAATTAAAATTATTTGTTTTATTCAAAAATTTTGTTAAATTTTAATATTGATTTTTTTTTTTATTAAAATTTAATTCATTTCAAATTCAAGTCGAAAGGTTACCAACCACATGGAGTGCATAAATATTGCGCATAATTAAAAAAAAAAAAAACTGAACTATTTCACAATTTTTTTTATTTTTTTCCAAATTGCATTTTTTAAATTGAAAAATACTCAAATAAATATTTTCTTAATCAATTCATTCTAAAATTATTTGTTCTTCTCAATAAATAATTTTAAAAATTCTGTCTCTTGTTACACATTGATTAAATTTTAATTTGACTCTAATGATTTCCTTTTTTGCATAATTCGTTTAATTTTTTGCTAAATTTATTTGTTTTCACAATAAGCGGGCTGAGAAACCGATACACTTCATTACGGCAGACCGCTTAAAGTAAAATAGAAGGAAATTATATATTTTCGATTTTAAATTCAAAACTACCCCCATGTGATTACTTGATTTATTTACTTAAAATTACAAATTAGTAAAAGCAAGAAGAATTACAAAGTAAAAAAAAAAAGACTTTGATCTGCTTTTTATCTATTTGTTCAAAATTTATTAAAGTTCTTCCTTGCAAGCATTTACATTATTTGAAAAATCATTTTTTTTATTTATTTACATATTAATTACAAAAAATTTAATATTATCATTATTTGGCTCATATTCAAAAAATTTAATATTATTAATATCAAATAATTCGCCTCTAATTTCTTAATTAAAACCGAGAAAAATCTTTAAAAATAGTGTACTCACAATTTAATTTTCTACAATTTAAACTTAATTCCAAGTTTGTATCATATTAAAACTTAAGCGTAAAAAATGTAAAAAGAAATATTCCTTCTTATATTTAAAATTTCATAAAATAATTTTTCAAAAAATAAAATTTCAAAAAACTTGTTATTTATTTAGAAAAATTCAACAAAATTCATCCAATACTAAAATTTTTTACACATTAATGTATACTTTTAGTTTCACAAGTATTCCACAATAAGACAACTATGATACAAGTAATAATTATATTTTGTTCTAAGTATAACAAATATTCTTACTAACAAGAGTAAATTTAACTTTTCCAGATTTTCATATTTTTAAAATTGGTTGGTTATCTTTTCGACACACTCTGCATACCTCTGCATATAAACATTTAAAAAAATTTAAAACATTAAATTTTTTACCCATTATCACAGAAATATTTCGTAACAAAAATTTCATGTGATTATTCTATGTGTTATATTTTCGGAAGAATAATAATTAAGTAAATTGTAAAAATATTTTTTAAAAAACAAAAATTTATTTTTAATAACAACCCAATCAAATCAATTTTTATAAAATTTTATCAAACATCAAATCTCTCTCTAGAAAAAGCATTCCCATAAAATTATAAAAAAAATTTTAAATAAATTCATTTGTATTTGTAAATTCGATTAAAATATTCAAATGAAAAATTAAAAGCAAATAAAAATAATTAATTGAACATTTTTTCTTTCGTCCTTAAAGAATTTATCCAAAAAACAAAAAAAAAAAATTCTAAATAAAATTGTAACAATCTACATATTTATTAATTAATGCATCTCAAATATGTTTTTTATGAAATTTTTTTTAAATATTTTATTCATATTTTATAAATTGTTTGAATTTTGACTAAAATTTATGAAAAATTTAAAAAAAATATATAAAAATAATTTTATTATTCAAGGAAAATTTGCAAGTTTTTTTTGGTCGTTATGAGTAATGTTCCATTTTACCATTTAAAAACCTAAATTTCAATTATATCATATTTACATATGCCATATTTATATATTTTATTTTTCAATTAATTCAATTTTAAATTCAATTTTGAATATTAAATTTTTACAATTTTCAACAAAAAAAAAAAAAAAAATAATGTCCATTCTAAAGTTTTAAAAATAACAAATTCCAAAAATTTGTTATAAATTATAGAGATTCTCTTTTTAAAATTTTATAATGTTATACATGTATACTTGTTAAGTATATATGTATATGAATCTATATATATACACACAAATATACATAAATTTTGTTTAATTACTGATTTTCATAATATTTATAAATATTATAAAAATTATTTTTAATTATTATTTCTCTTATTCTGATCCTTTTAGAAAATTTAGTTTTTAATTAGGGAAACAAAAAAAAAAGTAGTGGTTTTTTTATAATTAAAAAAAAATATTAGTTAGTTTTGTTTTGTTTTTTTTTTTTTCATAGTTAAATTTAAATATTAACGCAAATAATTATTGACATAAATTTTTTCAATTTCTCGTCTTTTTTTTTGTTTTGTTTTTTTTTTTTTCTTATAATACACATTTGTGTTTTATATGGAATATTAAAATATAAAATGTGTGTATATTGCGTATATACGAATATCGAAAAAAAAACAAATACAGCAACAAGAACAAGATCCAACAAATTTGTATATTGCAAATTTGCCACCACATTTTAAGGAGACAGACTTAGAAAATATGCTTTCAAAATATGGACAAGTAGTATCGACTAGAATTTTAAGAGATCAACAAGGAAATTCCAAAGGTATATAAAAAAATTGTAAAAAAAAAAAAATGTATTTTAATATATTGATTTTTTTTTTCTTCGAATTCTAGGAGTTGGTTTTGCACGAATGGAAAATCGTGAAAAATGCGAACATATTATACAAATATTCAATGGTAATCAGATACAGGGTGCCAAAGATCCATTATTGGTTAAATTTGCTGATGGTGGTCCAAAAAAGAAAAATCCATTTAAAAGCCCTGATCAAACAACAAGATCTTGGCGTGATGTTACCGCTGAAGGTATACCAGTTGCATATGATCCAACAACAATGCAACAAAATGGTGTTAGCGTTAATCTTGGTACACCGATACCATATACAGCAGCAAGATTTGGTGCACCACCAGTTGGTAGTTATCCAATACCAAGCTCACCATGGATTGGTAGCTATATGATGACACAACCAATTGCTCAAGTAGATGATCAGGTACTAAAAATTTAAAATTTTAAATCAATGTTCTAAATCTAGACAAAATATAAAAAATATAACAAAACTTAATACTCGTATCTCATTAATTTTGTCACTAGTTTTCTGTCATTAATGTTAAATGATTTCTTTTTATAGAAAATAATTTTTGTGTTTTCATATTAAAAATCATAAAATTTATTCTTCAACTCCTTCTTTTCTAAATCTATTAGAAATTACGTAATTTAAATTCTAAAATATAAAAACCAGTATTAAGATTAATTGGTTATAAATTTCAAAAAAAATTTTTTGTATGTACTCTACGAGTTAATCTATAGAATTTTTTTACGAGTAATTTGCACAAAGTAATTGTAATTATTTTATTTATAAACATTTAAGTAAATTTATTACACTTGTGACCTAAATTATTTATGTTCGATATTAAAATCTTATTACGTTTCAATTTGACATAAAATGTCAAAAAAAAAAATCATAATAATTCAAACTTTGAAAACTTTCAACTCTATTTTGGGAAATTTTATTAAAGATTTACTTTTCCATTAACATTGTTTGTAAAAAAAAAATTATTTAAAATTAGACTATTTATTGCCTTCCTGTTAATTACCTCATTACTTGAATAAATTGAAATTTCTTAAAAATTTCTTTATGTTTTCATGATATATACGGAAATATACAAAATTTTACTAATATCATGAAAAAAATGCTTAAAATAGCCGTAGATTTTTTTTTCTTCCTCCATCAATCTCGTAATATATCAAATTTTTTCGCTATTAGAGGCTATAAAATCATTCTGTAAACAAAAATTCTAATTTTATAATTTTATTTTATTTTTTTTTTTCAACCAACATCTCAATGTGCATAAGTATATAAAGAAATTAAAATTCAATGTTTGTACAAATATTATAATATTTTAAAATTTTTGTTAATTTCAGTACATGCAAATGGCTGCACCACAACTAGGAGTTACTTCAGCCTATAAACCAGATCCGGCTGTAGCTCAAGTTCAACCACGTGGTATATCAATGATGGTTAGCGGTGATGGAGTGCCATATGGAGCTATGATGCCACAATTAGCAACACTACAAATTGGAAACTCCGTAAGTTATGTTCCCCTATATATAAAATTTAATTTTTTTTTTATTGTATGAAAAAGTAATTTAAATCATTGCTTGATTATATTTAAAATTTATAATCAAACAGTGAATTAATTATTAAATTATTATTTCAGTTAGCTTTTTTTTTTATCAAGTTAAGTTTCTCTTTGTTGATTAAAAATTTAATATTAAATGTTTAAAAAAAAATTTTTATAAATACAATAATTTTGATAATTCTTGTGTTCTACACAATCACATAAATTGTGGCAAATTTCAATTGCTTGCTCTTTAAAGTTTTCGAATCATATTAAATTTAATAATCAAATTTAATCTGATTCGAAAACTTATTCGAAAATTAAATTTAATAATCACGGTAAAAGATCAACTTAACTTCTATTATGTTTGTAGTTAGTGTGTATATTAAAAAAAATTTCATACACATCAAAAACTTTTTAATTTATTTTATTTTTATTAACAATTTTTATTTAAATTTCTAAATTCTTCTTCATATAAAATTAATTTATTTATTAAATTCAAACAAAAAACTTCTTTATTTCAATTAAAACACCCCAACACCAAAACTGTCTACACAAACAACATTTTTTCTTCTATGTTTTTACAATTAGCTATTCTTGTAGATGTTCTATATAATTTTTTCTAATTAAAATATAAAATTATTAAATTATTATTAATAAAAAAAAATTGCTAAATTCAATTAAATTTATATATGTATAGTATCCTTTTATGTTTTAAAAATTTTAGTACATTAGTTCAACGTATCCATATTATCCACCAGCGATAATTCCAACAATGCCAATGGCTGATTCAGAACAAGCAAGTACAGCTGCATCACCTGATGAAGCATATACACAATATCCACATCCAGCTGCGCCTAAATAGGTCGATGAAAGGTAATTTTAATTCAAATAGTTTTTCAATAATTAGTTATTAATTTGTGCTTAGAATCATTATACGAGTACATATGTATCACATAAACACATATATAATACAATAACATAATGTTCAATTCTTTTAAATATTTTTTAGATAGTAGATTTTTTTTACTTTTAGAAATGTTAAGTTTTTTTTTAAATATTTTTTTAATTGTATGCATTTTATGTTTTAAATACTATATACTATATGTATGTTGTACAATTATAAGACAGATTTTGAACATTTTTTTTAGTTTAAGTCAAAAATTTAAAAAAAAAATTACAAATATTCAAAAAAAAATTATATTTAGTAGGTTTTAAATTTATTTGAGAAAACGAGTATTCCAAAATAAATTAGTATTTTCGTTTACAGCTTTTCGAATATTCTCTTTCGCTCCTTGAAGGCTTTTAATATTTTCTACATTAGCACAGTTTTCAAAAGATTGTAAAGCAAGATTGTGAAGGAGTTAGAAAATGTTAGATTTTGGGTAATAAATAAAAAACTTTGAACACAATTGAAAATATTTTGACATTTTTTCAAATGTAAGCGTACCTACCGAATTTTTTTTTACAATAAAGAACAAAAACCGTTCATAATAGTTTGTTTTTCTTCCTTCTTCTTATTTTTATTTTTTGTTAAATCATTATCCTTTCAAAATAACGTTCTCGTTCCTTTTTCTCTTATTATCATTACTTTCAAAGAAAATTTATAAAGTCTTACACAAAAATAATAAGAGTATAAGAAAAAAAAAAGTACAATTTCTTTTATTTTTTTTTATTAAAATTTTAGCGAATTAACGTACAAAAAAAGAAAAGAAAAGAAAATATGCAATTCATAATATTTAATTTACCACGAAGGTAAATCAATTTACATAAGGAGAATAATAACTTTCTATATAAAATAAATTTTATACAAATCACGATCTCACGGAAAAATTACATGATAATTTTGTTTGGTGGTACTTTGCAATAAAAATAATTTTGTACATTCATACACACCTATATATTGTAGTACCTATATATATATTAATAAAAATATTGAATTAAAATTCAGTGAAAAACATGATAAAAATTTTTCTTAATTATTATTCAGAAAAATTTGTTCTTTTTTTTTGAGTCAACGTAGGTAGCTATACAATTTTTTTTGCAAAATTTTGTGACTTTACTATTGACAATAACATTAAAAAAAATTAAAAGAAAATGTACTACACGTGTTATAGATAAATGCTTACAAGCATAAAAATGAATGTTTGTCCTCTACAAAATTAAAGTATTGCTTTAAATCTTATAAATAAAATGGAAATTGTAACAATAAATTTTATAAAATTACAATTTAAAAATTCTACAATTATTATTTAAGTAAAATTATTTAAAGTCTTCAACTATTGCATATAAAGAGTGTTGTAGACTTATCCTAAATAGTTAGTTTAATAATTATGTTTTTCTAGTAAGTGAAAAATGCGGTAATTTCAAAAATATCAATTATTTGAGGCAAGCTATACAACTATTATGCAACTATTGTCTTACATAATGTACTCACATAGAACTAAATCAACTCTATTATACAGTATGCTTATACATTTTTTTAAGTCCCATTTATTTCTTTCCATTCTATTCGATTACAACGTATTATTTGATTAAGAATTATTTTCAGAACCCTTAAGTAATTTATACATGCATGATATGAAGGATATTGTAAGTTTGTAGACGTTAGTTTTGAGATAATTTCAAAAGAGCTTGTTAATTAAAATACAACGATTCAATTTTGCTTGGAAAATGATTTCTTTAATGACTTTTCGAATTAAATACATATATTCGTTCTACTGAACTTAAAATATTTTGATAAATAATTTGTAAAATTAATTATTTATTTAATAAATTTTCTTTTTTTACTAACAAAACTAATTAATAAAAAATTAATTTTTTTTTCTTTATTTTCATTTTAGGTTTAATCACCAAATACCTCATTTCTTACATCCAATAAAGGTGATTGTCTAAAATTTCGCTGCAGATGGATCCAAAATTCTCTAAAATAAATGCTTCAAACAAAACTTAAAAAAAAATCACAATAAAAAAAAACCATTTTTTTTTTTATTACAATAAAAATAAAAAAAAATTAAGAAAAAAAAATAAAACTGAAAATAAGATGAAAAATTAAAATTTAGAAAATAAATAATTGTATATGTATAATTTATAAACTATATAAAAATGTAATTGAGCTCCAAAAATTTTGAGTGTCGTCGTATATAAGTAAATAAAAAAAAACAAAAACATAAATAAAACATCAATAACAAAATGAAAAGAAAAAAAGAATTTCAAGAAAAAAAAAATGAAAATTTCGAATACAACAAAAATTGTAAAAGCCAACAAAAAAGAAGCTTACATCCTTCTCTTCCTCCTTAATAAAAGAACATGGAATTTTTAAAATTTTCAAGTAAATTAATTTTCTTTTATCATCGTATACCCGCAACTCAATTTTATTAAGAATATTTTTTTTTGCAATTCCTTAAACAATAAATTTTTTCTTTTTTTTTAATTTCACTATTATTGTGAAAATTCTGAAAAGAAAATTTATAAAACTAAAACCATGTTAAGTTCTAAATATTTAACCAAGTGCTTTTAAAAACAAAAAATTCCATTTGAAAAATTATTAAAACTTTTTTAATATGAAATTTAGTAATGTAAAATTTTATTAAACTTTTAAATTTAAAAATAAAATTGATTTTTTTTAAAAACTAAAGATTATTGAATATAAGTAATTTTGCTTTAATAATTTTTTTTTATAAAACTCTCAAAATACATTCATAATCGCACCTGCATTTATACTCTCTTAATATTATACCATTCACCTCTCTTGAGGTGAATGGTATAATATTAAAAAATTTTATAATTTTCACGAAAAAAATCAATTTCGAAATTCTTTAATTCCAAACCTCTTTTATTTTCAATTTATATCCCTCAAGTAATGCATCTAACATATGGATGGAATGTACCTTAATTTCGTTAAAACTACACTTTATAAAAGGAAAAAAACAAACATAAATTTTAAAAATTCCAATAAAAATAATTGCTAATAATATATTTACATAATATATTTATTATAAATTATAAAGAACAAGAAAATATACATTATGAATACCACAATCATATTGTATAGTCAAACAGAAATTTAGCAATGAACTGGAAATTTTTATAATAAGAAAACAAATGGTCTGCTTAGAACGTTAAAGACAAAAATATTTTTGATTTATATTTTAAATATTATTATAAATTAATTTGAGAAAAAAAAATATAATAATATAAAATGGAAGCTTCTTTTCAAATAAAAATTTAAAGAAAAAAAAAATGGATGTAGAAGAAATTTAAAAATTTAAAAAAAAAAGTATTAGTTTTTAAGAGAATCCTTTTTTTTTTAAGCAAAAATTAAGAAATTTACATTTTTTTCTGTTAAATTTTAAGGATTATTATTATGTATAGCATTAAGGATATTTCCGATTTAATTAAGAAAAAATTGAAAAAGAAAAAAAAAACAAAAGGAAAAAAAAAAACTAGAGAAAATCTTTAAATGAAATAAATTTCGTTTTTATAATTGTAAGTTAATTAATTAATTATAATTAATTATTAAAAATTAAGAATTGATCTTTTTTTTTTTGGTATAGCTTAGTAAGAAACTTCGAGTCATTTTGTTTTATTTTTTTTTATTTTTTTTTTGTCTTTTTTATAATATATATTTTTTTTTGTTAATTTTTTTATTTTTTCTATAGTTATAAAACAATTTTTTTTTAATTAATTTATTATTAAGTCTTCGATTTAAAATTTAGCATTATAAGGAGATTATTATAAAAATGAGAGAGAAAAAAAAAAAAAACAAAAATAGGTCAAAAAATGAAAGATTAAAATAAATTGTTTTTTTTTTTTTTTTAATTTTGATAATTAAATTTGATTTAATGAATTAATATAATGGAGGATAAAAGAAAAACAGAAAAAGAAATGATATAAAAATTGAGATTCTAGAAAAGAATATATAAAAAAAAAACAAACGGTTAACTACAATATTTATCTGTTTTGGTGTTTTTTCATTGTTTTCTTATATATTATATATTACAGGCGTAATATGTATATTATATACATTATTACATTGATTATATACTTATATTATATTTATTACATAAATATAAAATTGCATTTTTGTTTTTTTTTTTTTGTAATTTTTAAACAACAAAAATTTAATAAATATTAATTTCTAAATATTAATAAAAATTAATACTTACATATTTTAAAATGAGCGCAGATGTTTTTTCTGTTTTCTAATAAATTTAGTATTTCATAATTTAAAAATAAATGGAAAACATTTTTTGAAAAAAATAAAAACCAGAACAGTTTTATATATAAAAAAAAAATGCTGAGTTCAAAATTTGCTATTTTACAATCTATTAAAGCTTATTAAAGAAAATCGCTGAATTGTACTTTAATACAAAGTGTTGATGAAACTTAAAAGTTAGCAAAATATGAATATTAAATATGATTTTAAAAATATGCAATATAAGTATATTAGTAATACACCAGATAACAGAAATAGCAACAATATTATGCTTTTAAGTATTCTACATATTAATATACTACTAATAAATATTAATATACCAGATTATTAAAATAAAATGTAATTTAAATTTAATATTAATTATTTTTTTTTTTCAAAATATTCAAGAGATTTTTACAAATCTAATGCTTTAAATTATTGTACGCATTTAAAAGCAAATTTTAATTCGTAAGTTTCAGGTGGTTTAATATTCAATTTTAATTTTTGTATGTAATATTAAATAATTTTAAAATTAAACAGTATAGAATTATTTCAATTTTAATATTCTGAAATATTTAGAAAGATTTTTAATGGAAAATTGAAGCATTTTTACAATCTTTAAATTTTGTTTTTATTTAAGTGTCTTTTTTAAATCAATGTTTATAATGTTACTTGTAAATAATAAAGAAGATGCCATAATAATCCTAAAATACATTATCTGATTTACAATTGAATACACAATAGATTCGAGCATGTCATCTTTACTATTTACAATTAACATTATAATATTGTAACGTGATTTTAATACCATTAATGTTATTTGCCTTAAAAAATTTAATAGAGAGAGTAGGAAAAGAATTTAAATTTATGTTATTAAAAAATTTATAATAAATAAATTTAAATTCTTTTTTTTTTCCTCTCCTCTCTATTAAATCACTTTTAGTCAAATAACATCAATGTTATTCTCATGTTAATAATTTCGCTTTATTTTAATATTTCATATAGAAAATTTGTAATCTCTTGAAAATGACTTCAATATAAATAAAATCGAAATATTTACTTAATTGAAAAAAGAAAATTTAATGTAGAAAAATTAAAAGATAGTGAAAATTTTGTAAAATTTTTTTATATAAAAGTCCATACGAATTTTATTAACCCTAAAATGTTATTAATTATTTAATTTCAATTTAATTGCTCTAAATTTTGCTATTTTGAATTCAATATTTAAAATATTAACCTGTTCTGGTTCATATTATTATAATTTTCATAAATATTATGAAAATTTAAAAAAAATACATAATTTTCTGTTAAAAATTATTATTACGGTTCCATTTAATTTTACATAGAATATATTTTTGTAATTAAAATCTGTTTAGCTAATATATTGCTTTTTTTTTAAAATATATGGAAAGGAATTCACTTTTATTTTTTCGTTAATTTGCAATATTAAAATCGTGATGATAAAAAGTGTGAAAAAAAAAATGAAATTTTCAAAAAAAGAAATAAAAAATTTAATAAAAAATCAGTTGACATATTACTTTGATTTCAAAATTAATATTGTATAATAGTAATGCTGTATTTATATTATATAAAATTCAAATTATAATTTTAATAGTAATTATTGAATCCTATATAATGAATACAAAAGTATTGCTATATAATTTTGAAATCAGTGATACTATCAAATTTTTCACATCATCTTTATAAAATATATAAGAGAGAGAGACATCACATGTTTTTTTAAGGTGAATTGTTTTAAGCAAAATCCTTAAAAAAGAATGATTGAAAATAAAAGAAAATTTTTTGCAATATAAAAATATAAAATTTATATTTAATATAGTAAATATTAATTAAATATTTAACGAAAAAACAAAAATAAATAATAATAAAATGAAAATTATCATCTGAAGAATGTTATAGGAAAAAAAATATAAGAAAAAAAAAATTTTATTGATTGGAAAAAAAAATTATTGTGTTAGAATTTACCAAAAATACATTTTTATATATGTATGTATACACGTACATATTTATTATGTATACATACATCTGTACATGTTTATATAACAATTTACATAATTTTTCTAAAAATTATGGAGAATTATTTGTTTTTTTTTTTTATTTTGTATATTTTTTGAGTCCTTAATTTTTTTTTTTTAATTTTTTTTTGTTTGTATTTTATTTTTAATTTTAATTTTTTTTTGTGTATTTTGTGATCAGTTTTTATTAATTTTATAATCTTACCAAATCAAATTAATAAATTATATTTTTAATGCAATTAAAATATTAAATATTAAAAAATTTTCATAAATTTCTTCATTTATTTTTTTTTTAATTCTTCTGACGTGCCTAATTTACATACATAGTTTATATTTTGTATCGCAATAAAAAATTATCAAAAATATATGAAAAGAATAATTAAAAAAAAAAATTTAATTGAATCTAAAAAAATAAAAAATATCTAGTCTTTTGTGCAACAAAACAAAGAAAAAAGAAAATGTAAAAAATAGAAAAAAAAAGGATGTAAAGTAAATTTTTTTTTTAAAAATTATTTTTGAAAAATCACAAAAACACACATTTTTTTTTATTATTATATTACAATAAAAATTGAAAAAAAAAAATAAAAGAATTTGAATATTTAAAATAAACTATTGTTTAGAAAAAAACACATTCCTTTTTTGGACTGCATTCAAAAGATTTTTAATTTGATTTATTAATAGTTAAATAGAAAGAAAAAGAGAGAAAAAAAAAACACAGAAAAAATTATTTAACAAAAAATTTTCAAAAATTTTAAA